CTAAATCTCATAATTATGAACAGAATTATTTTCCCACTATCAAATATTTTTAATAAAATAAAAATATAATCCCCAGAAGCAAGTGACAATTCTGGAGGAAGTGGGGCAAGTTTGTAAAAATTATAAATGTAGTATAAATAATTTTATTATTTCATAGTCTTGATTTCTGTGGAATGGAAAACCTAATAAGCATGGAAAAATAAATGTCTCATTAAATATCCCCAGATTTATCCTTGGATCCAAGCTTATTTTTTGGATTATGTAACAAAGAAAGGTCTTAAGTTCTACTATATTCGTGTTCTATGCAAGTCATTTTTCAGAAAATGTTGTTATAAATTGAGCTGTTGATTATGACATACTTGCTTTTATTGTGGGGATTCCCCTCCCCGCTCTCTCCCAACACACACCCACTACATCATGTATTATGGTCAAACATAAAGTAACTTAAATATTTCTCTAAGTCTTTAACATTAACTTAATAGTGCTTTCAGGCTATTATAGCCCCAAATCTGATACTTGTGCCATACTCAAATGAGAGCTCTTCCTTTCATATTATTTTTGCTGTCTTTCTTAAATAGTATAGAGTAACTGAAGAACTTGCTCTTACTTGAGGCATTGCATAAATGCTTTATGTTGATTGGTTTATTCCTTTCAAGCTTCTTGATAATTAAGTTATTGGTTAATTACTTCTTAATCCTCTTACTAAAATTTCTTCTGGAAATATATTTGTATTGGTACAAATTACATCTTTTATATTGTTGAGATAATTAGGTCTGGGAAAATAAAGAAATATTGAGGGTTTAAGGTATTCTGATTGTTACTTGGTAACTCTAAATAGGTATCTGAACTATTTTTATTAGAAAATTGTGGGAGCTTTAAATGGCAGTGATTAAATTTTTATCTCTTAACAAAATTCATAGTTTTGACTTTAAGAACTTTGAATTGAAAGGGAGCATTAAATTAATCTTCCTTAATTTAAAATCCATTTAACAGATTTGTTGTATCCTAATAAAAAATGTATTACCATTCTATAATGGCAAACAAGAAACATTTTATGAAACCAAACAGAAAACAGTCAAAACAAATGCTCTGAAGGTTTTTTTTGAAATTAAAATTGAAATACAAAGGTAGAAGACTGGACAATCTGATTTGCTTTGCTTATTTGCAACACCATTTGACGAATTTTAAATTTAAATGATTAATTAAATTATGTTGCAACAGAAAACTTTAAGAGCTCTTTATGTAACTTAATACAATGCTATTTGAGATTGCCAGCAAACTCTTAAAACTCCTGGACACTGGCTTTCCTCTCTTCTGGCTTCCCTCCTAGTCATGTCTTGGCTACTGTCCAGAGCTGACAACTTTCACCCAGGAGCACAGGGAGATTTGTCTAGGATAAGAAGGATTTTTGAGCCATCCTACATTTTCACATCCAGATGGGCAAGGAGGAGGGGGGCAATATCATTGTACATACTTGGGTGATGTCATTATACCATACATACACCATAAGCATTAATTTACCCAGATTGGTGAATTCTGAATGTCCTTACTGAAATGTTCCATATTGGAAACTGTATTGTAACAACTTCAAAATTAATGCAAAGATTATGTTCAAATTTAAGTAACTGATGTACGAATACCTCTACTTGTCCATTTCTATCTATTAATATACTGAAGACCAAAGGGGTTTTACATCTTGGCTAATAACATAAAAACACTTCGAATCTGTTAAGATGAGAATGTGGATGTTCCCAGATTCAAGGCCTGTCCTCAGATCATTATGCTAAAGCTTTCTGAACACTGCTGGTTATATTATGACAATTTATTATCCATAGTGTATTCCTGCTAAGGTGAATTGTGATTGTTATGCTTTTATGGGTTTTTTAAGCTGTTAATTTTAGATTCTTCTAAGTAAATTCACCTGCTTTTATCTAAAAGACTGTTTAGTATTCATATTATTATTTGAAAGACCTTTTGACAAGAATGGTTTTAAGGTAAGATTACCTCAATAGATCATATTCGTTATGAAGCTTGGAGGTGCAGAAGTAATCTGTAACAATTTTTTTCACTTTTTAAAACACATGTAAGTTTATAAGCCCAAATGTCTTTTATGCTCCTACACATAACTAGGAGGTTGAATAAGTTTATAGTAAATATAAACATTTTCTCAGTCAGAACCTTAGATGTTATTCTTATATAATTTCCATTGCTTTTTATTCTATAAGTGTTTTTCAGATATCCCCACAACTTTCACAATTAATCTGCTCTGCCACATTATGCAAACAATTTTGCAAAATAAACATGCAGAAAGCAGTAAGATCACTGTGAAACTATATAACTAATTTTGTGGTAATAGTATGATTAAAAGTTATTCTTGTATTAATACTTTATGAAAGTTTTTTCAATAGACTTTAGTTTATGATTAATAACTATGATGCAAACCTGTGAAACTCAGAAATAAATGAAATACATGAATGAGTTTCTGGAAAATTTTGAAATCTAGGCTGTACATATTTTTTACTTAGAATTCACTAGTTTTCCCTTTTGAAGTGGATAACTGATTTTTTTAAGTCTCCCACAAACTACCTTTAAAAGACTTATGAAGTTGATAAACATAATAGGATATCAAATGGTTTATTAGTAAATGTTAAGATTAAATGAAAAAAGCAAATCCTCTTTGAAATAAGCAAATGTCAGGTTGACAATTTAAATACACAGTACCTTGCTTATGCACTCTCAGAATGGAAATTTATCTCATCTTTAAACCTTGTAATTTCTATTGTTCATATAATTGAGAAAGTCCTAGTTTATATCACTTAAATCTTGAATAGATGAGTTCTAACAAAAATGAACTTGTATCATTTTAGATTCAGATATTTAGATACAAAGGCTTAGTCTTTTATTTATAGATAAAAGGAAATCTGACCTTTTGATTAAGAAATATTGTCAGTAGCCTTTATAAATGCCTGTTCATCTGAGGGTCCATGACAGGAGTACTCTTCCCAGTTGAGTTTATCCTAAAAATGAAATGATAAGAGCCTGCTGGTTATTATCCATGATTCTTCTTAATGGGGGAACCACATGGTTATTCTTCATCTCCCACTTGTTCTCACCCTTTACTATCAACCCAGCCACACCCCACCCCCACCCCAACATTGTTCAATACTCAGCACAATGAATCATTTTCAAGTTGACTCATTGTGAACTGTATCCCAGCTGTTGGAATGTCTGGCAGACATTTTTGTTTGGGTGAAGAATAACTGGCTGAAACCCAACCTGGATGAGTTTGATATAATGGTCTTTGGCTAAAGAAATATTGAGAGGAACATGTTTATGGCCTCTGAAGCCCCTGTTATTCCTGGAGTAGGACCATCCCCTGTGGCACAGAACTGAAAGTAAGGAATCAATCTGGATTATTTTCTCACCATTGAATGAAAAATTGCCTTAGAAAAAATAGGCATTTCCAAATTATGTTTTTCTATACTTAGTGTGCCCACGTGATTGAACATGTTAAAGACAATTAAGAATAATTATTTTTACTAATTCTTTTTAACAACACTGATCCAAAGGCTGAAACATTCTTTATATAATGCGGAAACATTCTTTATATAACACACATTCCAACTTATGAAGGAGTTTCAAATACTGCCCTAGGTGTGAGTTAACCAGTCATTTCAACAGAATGTTTGGTGACACAGGCTACTATGTGTTTCATAATACCAAGTCAGGTAACATTGACCAGCCCTCTTTAATTTTCCATTCTTATGCCATCTTTGTAAAGGGACTTAAGAAACAAGAATATTAGTAAGCTCAGTTGTAATCATGTTTCCAGAAAATGAAAATCTTTTCTTATATTTGACCTCTTTCTAACAGGGGATATAGCAGGCTGATAAATTTTCTTGACTGTTTTGTATTTCCCATTCTCTTCTTCAAAGATTAGTTTTAAACTGGTGAGCATTACCATTGTATAAAATGAGAGTTTCAAAATTGCAAAATTTTACAAAACAAATTTTCAACTTATCTAGATCTGCTAAGCAAAAAATTGTCTAAGACAGCATAGCATATAATCACAGTTTTCTGATCTACCACTCTGTCAGGGGCTAAAAGGAATACTCGATTTCCAGTAATTAAAGAATTTTAAAAAAAACCCTACCAGATATTTGATTATTATATTTTTATAGCCAGGAGATTCTCAGTATTTTAGAACTTTTACTACTTAATAACTGGACATACTATGTTTGTAAACATATTAACCTATTGTTTTGATCTGGCAAAATGTGACATTTATTAAAATGTATCTAGCAGTATTTCAGTTCATCTCAGATTGTGTCAACAAATAAAGGATAGGCTACTGGTCTAAATGTTAGTCATCTACCATCTTTTCTTTCCCTTTATTATTATCCGAGAGCCAAGTGGCAGCATCTGGAAAGAGAAAACAGAAGACTCCATAGCTAGCCATGTTGCAGTCTCTTAGCTGGTCTTTTCCCTGTTTCTAATATGTCACAGAGGACCTCAGCTGTTACAGGGCTGGGACCTTGTCCCAGCTGACAGACGACAGTGAGACTCTTGCCCTATACTTTATGCTGTACCATCTACTGCTTCTTAATCCTGCTGTCTGACAGATTTTCCAATGGGCATTGAATGAAGTAATTTGAAAAATAATCATGTATGAGAATAAAGGTAGTCCTGTTCCCTAATACAAGTGAAAAATAATCAATTTATGTTCTCTACCAGAACTAATCAATTTATATCTTCTACCAATTTATGTTTTCCCTTCAGTTCTTCAAATTAGAATAGCGTGACTACATGGGCCAGCATTTTCAGTTAAGGGCATATTTCCATCCAGTTTTCTGCCTATAGTAGCTTTAACTTTTAAGGTATTTCTCTGTTAATAGTCTATCTCTACTACAGTTTTTCATGAGATGGCATAGTGATATTTTACAGATATTATATTATTAACATAACATTTAACGTTACTGTTTTGTTTCCATGTTTTGCAGAATAAAGCCATTATTGCCCGTGTCACAAACTTGTCAGATATAGTAATTGGTCTGGAATCATTTATTGGTTCTGAGAGAGAAACTAATCCATTGTATAAGGATTATCATGGTAAGTAGAACCTTCATAATGAGAAGAGCATGAGCAGGCTGCTTTTAGGTTACCTGGAAACATCCTGTTCAGTCCAAATGTATACAGTCAAGGAGTATAAATTTTACAATACACCTATTAAATGTTTTCCATTCCTGTCCAGTCTTCCATGGCAGCTTATTACCCAACTACATTAAGACTATAGACTATAATAACTGAAAAGAGTCAAACCCAAGTATTAAGGCATGGCTGAATCAGGTGTATATTTTGTTGTCCTAGTGTCTTAGAGTAGCCGTGTAATCCGTCATACTTACTAGCCATGTTTGAAATAAATACCGTATTCTAATAATGACAGTTTTCTAAAGCAGTTTATACTTTACAAAGCGTAGCCGTATAATAAGATACATATTGGATTATATTTACAGATTCCTAGTCAATTACATTTTCAGAAAGAGAAGATCTTTCATTATATTTGAACTTTTCTCTGTTTACTCATTTTCTTGTTAGTTTGAGTTATGAACAAATTATAAAATATTGCCACCTTGATATAAACACAGGTGAATTCATCAGACTTTCTACTTTTTTTTTTTTACTTTTAGTAATATTGTAGTCATTTGGTTAATTTGGGGATTCTTTTTAATAAAGAGTCTTATGTAGAACTATATGAATAGTAAAAATGTAGTAGTTAGGTCTAAGTATTATAGGTCTAAACCAAATATAGAATGCAGTGAATAACAGATTTTTACCTATTATTCTTAGTATATACAAATTATTGCTACCATTATTATGGAGCTACCATACTTCTATGGAAACCTCTAAAGACTGAGTAGCTTCTTTGAAGCCTGCTACCAGATTTTATAAGACAAGTATTATGAGCTTATGCATTTTGTAAAATATTTTATGTTCTGAAAAATATTATTTTGATTAAAGTATTTCAAAGGTTGAAAGGCTATGATTCTTTGTGCAAAAATCTCTGAATTGTAAATTATTTTCCACACAGTAATGAGTGGTTCTAAAGACTAGTATGCTTTCTGTTAATAAGGAGGACCTGATTATGAAATTATTAATTTATTCTATAAGGTCTCTTGATAGCTAAGCAAGCACATTTAAGGTTAAAATAAGAAATGTGCAAATAAAAGTATGGTGTGCCTATTTCTAATAGATATATTTTACTAAATAATATGTATGAGATAGTCTTAATTAGTAGCTAAAAGCTGTCTTCTTGAAACACCTTTTACATTTTTTTAAGTTTGAAAAATTGTCAGGTATTTTAGTTAATTATTTTTGAAGAGGCCATTTCTCAAGCTAAGTACCTTTAAAGGTTTAAGCTAAGACTAATAGATGCATTATTAAGCATTTAAACATACTTACAAAACCTTGTACTAGAGAAGCAGTTCTATAAGTAAGATTTGTCTCTTTGTTCAAATCTGTAATTTGCCTTTCCTCCCCGTGTTTTGGATCAGTGTCCTCGGGATGTTAATTTTTAAATATGAGCTGAGTCAGGCAGAAAGATGTAGTGAAGAACCTTCTATGTCTTCATCTGTGGGAAATGACCCCTAGTTTAGTCAGAAACTACATTAGGCTGCACAAAAGCCATCCAGTGCCCTTGTCAGAAAAAATTAGCAAGTGTTTCTATTGACAAGAGGCCAAAGCTCATGGTTTACCTAGCACTGTTGCAAAGCTTATAGCAGCTACATAAAGGTCTAACATACCATAGATATGAGTGTCTTGGGATGGCATAGGCGTTAACGTTTGGTCCTAGAGTGTACCCTGAAATGTAGTTTTCTTCAATGGTTTGTTCAAGTCATTAATAAAGTACAAAATGAAATACTTTTCATGAGTGCTTCACTGGTTATCAGTAACCTATAAGCCTTGTTTTGCTGGCTGCTTAGTGGTGCATTTAATAAAATAAAGATCACTCAGTGGTGCCGTGGGCAGCATGCAAGGTGATAGCCATATTTGCTTACTGTAAATACAAGAGAAAATCACACACAAACCGGCTGTAGTTTTGACAAGTATTAAGATCCCTCTTTACATCTGTACTTCTGTACCAAAGTGCAATTAGTTTTCGTCGCACAAGGATTTCTGTTTATCTTATTCTGCTTGATTACTTGAGTATAATCACACCATTTGCTTCATTGCTCCTGGTAGTAAGCTCCAGTTTTAAAAGAGGAGGATGCTTGTGTGTAAATTTACAGGATTCTGCTTTTTTTTTTTTTAATTTATGCATCCGATGACAATGTTTAATTTTTTTTTCTTTTAATTTCCTTTCCACAAGGCTTGATTCATATACGGCAGATTCCTCGGCTTAATAACTTGATCTGTGATGAATCAGATGTCAAAGACTTAGCTTTTAAATTAAAAAGGAAGCTGTTCACTATTGAGGTAAGAGAATTTTTATGTTTTAGTTTACAGTGTTGAGGTAAAGTTATTTTTAACTTATTTTTACTTTATTTTATTTTTATTTTCACCTATTTAATGAAATTCTTAGGACATGTTTTATGCTAAATATTATTAAGTTCTTCTGATATAACAGAATAATTTTTTAGACTATTGTTTTATTTTTACAATATATCAAGTATGGCAAAGATGATTTTCTTTTGAATATCTATTAAAAGTAAGTTCCAAACTTACTTGATAAATATGATATGCATATTTCCATGGCTTTCAAAAGCATATTTAATTAAATGTTAATGAGCTGTGCTTACTTGGGTGTGGAATGTGAATGCTACCCATAATTGTCTGTGGCTAAGAGGATTCTTATCTACATTTTAAAAGTGTTTTTCTTTACTATTAGTGAAATTACCTTTCCTCGTGTGGAACTAAACAAATTATAATTTACACTAGTGTCTTTAAGTACATTTTCTAAGACACTGCAACTTTTTTTGTGACCCTTACGTAAGCAATGGTGGCAGAAAGTAGTAGGACAAAAGATTTATTTCAACTTAATCTTGCTACAGAGCAAATGAACAGAGAACTATTAAGCAATTAGAATTGATGTATTTATTAACGAAGTAAATACTTAGAGAGAGATGGCTTTTGGGTGATGTGATAGTTATCAGTATAGTCGGCGCAATTTTTTTTTAACAAAGACATAAAACAGCCAAGCAGCCTTGACAAACCATTTTGTTTAATCTCTTTTCAAATGAAAAGCTCCTAAGCAGGCCACTTGTCTTAACTGCTTGAAACCATAAAAAGAGAGAATTGCCACCAATAAATTAGCATATTTTTAACTTCATCACCAAATGATGGTCAATGTGGCTTGGCACTGCTTTGGTGTTTGGGACTTCACCCTTAAGTGACCACTTTGGCCCTTTTTTGACCCTCTGCCCTCTTTAAGCTGGCCACTTGATAAGGTAACTTAATGGTTCTCTCTCTTTTTCTCTTTCCCTTCACATTTGCAAGTAGCACTAACCTATAAATCATTGTAAGGGCCCTATCCAGTGACAAATTAATGTGCCCTCCTCCTAATTAATGGTCATCAATGTCCTTAATTATCTAATCCTATTGAGAGCAGTTAATAGTTAATCAGGCAGCCAGTTCTTCAAGCAGGTCATCTCTGCAGGAGTGTTAGAAGTTTCTCATCTGGGGACACTCCCTTCAAAAGCCACTTAAAGCCAAAAGAGCGAGAGTGTAGAAATGGTGATTCTTGAGCTAATTTGCTTTAGTTCTCAAAAGAAACCAGTGAAGTGGAACCCAACACTGTAATTGTTCAAACATTGTTTCAGCTTTTCTGACAGAATACTGAGTAATGTACCATAATATTGCTTCAGACTTTGAGAAAGATACAGTTATAGTTTAGTGTCACAAGGAAAGCATGCTTATCATTTTCTTCTGAGTTTATATTTTTAATGGAAGACGTAAGTTTTTTCTCCCCATGTGGCACTGTTTCCCCAAAATCAGTATTCTAACGACATCTGAGATATCATTTCTATTACCATACAAACTAAGCAAGATGATTCGATTCCCCTGTGAAAGTAAATATTGTACCCAGAGAAGAAAGTAGTACAGTAATGTGAATCATGTTTATGATTTCTCTTTCTCTGTCTCATTGAGTCTTATTGGGAATTGAGGGAAAGAGAAAAATAAAGAACTTACATGATGTCAAGTGGGACCTCTCCTGTCAGAGAGGTCTCTCAGAGGAGAGGTCCCACTTTAGGTTCTAATAGTAACTGCACTTCACCGTCAGAGCTGATGAAAGATCTTTTATTAACCACACAGGTTTCTGTTTCATTTTCTCTCTTGTTCCCACTATGCTAAACTAAGAATCATTGTAATTGGTCAACCTGTGGTTTAGAAGCAATGTTTGAAAACAAAACACAAATAGACTGTTGCTTCTTAAAATTCTATATAATCAAACTCGGTACTTTTTTTGCTAATAACCTAATCACTTAAGGTTTTTTTGAGTTTTTTTGTTATTTTAATATAAATATATACATTCTAAATGACTTATTTACTTATGCCATAATATTCAATTTAGTGATTAGAAAAAATAAAAACTAAGGAATCAAACAAACCAAATAGAAGTACATATATAGGTATAATTAGAACACAATAAAATCATGTGGTTCACCTAAAATGTTTTAAATGTAGCATCGTACATTCTAAAATGCATATCCAAACAGATAGTAAGTCTTGTTAATATATTAAAGAAACTAGAAACAGGAGTAGAAATGACCTGAAAGTAACTAGTTCAAGGATTCCTTTATTGAGGGTAAAATCATCGAGCAAATGCTACTGTTTTAATACTCACAACAAATAAATGTTCTTTTTAAATGTCCTGATAGTTTTTTAAAAATAAAATATAACCTTGCTAGCCTGTAAAGTCTGAGACTAAAATAGATAGTCTATTGAATCTGAGTCTTACTTTTAGAAGTGAAAGATAGTTGAATCTGACATTGAATCAGGCATTGAATCAGAGTCTCACTTTCAGAAGTGAAAGGTAGTTTAGCAGGGAAAGCCAAAATAACATTTCCAATTCCACAGACAAATTTGTTACGTGTTGGAATTTACTGTCAGTCACATGTCTCAAAAGGGGGCAAGGTTGGAAACATGGGGCAAAAGAAGCAGGCAAGCACTCTCATCTCTATTTTTAGGGCACCTTTTTGATTTGTTAAGTCATTGCCCTTTATATGTATGAAAACTGATTATCTTTTTACTAGCAGCTACCAAGGGCCTCTAACAGGTAGAGCAACTTTAACTCATAATCTCTAATTTCTTTGAGTGATTTGGAGAAAGCAAAGGAATATTTCTTCCTTCTCAGAGTATGTGTTGGTATTGTCCAGATTCAAGTGAAAATATTTATCTAATCAGAGTAAAAATTTTTGCTAATACCTGTAACTACAAAGCTCTATAAATTAGCCCCTCTACAAAAACTGTAGCAGAATCATATCCATACTAATTGCACTAAAATCCTGACACGCATTCTAGATAAGTAAAAGTGAAAGTTTAAACTGTGATTTCAGGTTAAAAGAAATCGCTTTCCAATTCTTTGAAAATTGATGATTCTTATAAGCAATACATAGTATGGCATATGTGATTAACCATTATATACTACTTACTCCTTGATCTTAACCAGATCAAATTTACCTAACCTTGCCTAACCTCCATTTAATCACAGCAAACATTTGTTGAGCCTTTGTTAAGTAGCAAGTACTATACTAACTTATTTATACTTTTATGTAGTGTTTAAACATTTTAAACAAAAGCTTTACTAAGATATAATCATAAATTCAATACACATAAATGGTGTGTTTTTCATCTTTATATCTAAGAATCAAGAACAGGGTTATTTACTTAATAGGTATAAAATCTTTGCTTAAATGTATATAATATAGATAAATTATGAATGGGCTTTTTAAAATAGTGCAAATAATACAGCTATAAATATGATATAAGCTCCACCAGTCAAGTGACCTGTACACACTGTCTTCTTAGTTATGTGTAAGATAACTTGAATACATAGCATAACTTCCAAGCTAAAATAACTGGTTGAACTTGCATTTCTTAGCTTCTGTAATTTTTACTTCTTTAATATCAGGCTATCATTAACCAATTTTTTCTTTAGTAATTATGATGTAATTATAGTACATAAACAAGATTTGGCAGAATTTGAAATGTGGCTGCATATTTGATGACATAAATGCAACATTTTCACTTGCACTTAATAATATTTTGCTATTTTGATTTTATATTTTCAGCTCGATCATATTGTAGCACATTCTAGTCATAAAATTAATGTAAATGATAATAATGTATTATTACATTAGTTGCACCATCCATTAAGGTTTTCACAAAGAGAGTTTCCACTTTGGTAATGGGACAGTTTTCCAGCTCAAAGATTCAGTGTTTCTAAGTTCAAGTCAGAGAGTACAGTAACTGGATTAACATTTAAATATACAGAAGACTTACAGTATTTACTACAAATTTTCAATATAAAGATTAACACTACTTGTGTAGGCTGTAATTGGTCCAAAAAATAGCAATTATCATAAATAGTGTATCTTTGTGGGCCTCATAAACTAAATGAATATTGAGAGTAGAGAATGTCAAAGTAAATCATGTTTACTCAAGGTTGTCTTATCATACTTTGTCCCTAATTCAGAATAGGACCTCAGTACCTCTCCAGTCACCAAGAACTTATTCTCAACAAAATAATTGACCAATCTAGTTTTTATTAGGTAGCTATTATTTTTGATATACTCATGTAATAGATTTATTCTCAAGTATTAAGACTAGAATAGAACCAATATAAATTAGATTTATAATTATATTGCGACATAACTTGGTATTATTCAGTAGGATTATTCAATAGGATTATTATTTACATATTGGAAAAGCATAAACTCTTACAAACTAAGGAGTGCTAGTGGCTATGATAATGTGTAATAATTTGGAGTGTTTCATGATATCTTTGGTCCTAGGTTTACTTTATTCCCTATGCTTATTTTCAGCAGCCTTTCCAGTTTTTAAATGAGAAGTAGAACGTTGAATATGTTTACTGTATCTAGAGATGGGGAGAGGGATGATTAACTTGCTTGTCAACTCACAATTATGTTACTAAAATAAAATAATGGAAATATAAATGTCTGGCTTGGGAGCCTTATTAAGTTGTAGCATCATGGGCTGTAGTCCAATATACTACAAATATTGTTTGTTATTTCAACTAACTTTTATTCCTAGATACACTGCAGCTAGCAGAAAGAGAAAAAAAATCAAAGTTTAATATAGGCATCTATTCATTTAGATTAAATCACTTGTCAAAAATAAACTCAAATTAACGTTTTTTAACAATGGAAATGTGATTTTTTTACATGTGTACATTTTGATATATTCATTATATTATCATTCTCATATTTATGTTTTTATTCTCTAGTGATATCAGT